TAGTTCCTTTCATGCAGGACTCGAACGCCGGTCTACATTTTTCAACAGTTTATTTTCGTTTTTTTTTTTTTCCTAGCACTCAAAACATCATGCTGGATCCCCCCAGCAGTTTTGTGTTTTTTTTTTTGTTTTTTTTTTGTTTTTTTTTTTTTGTGGAAATTTTGTCCTTTTATTGCCATGGAAACCGTAAAAAGGAGGCCGGGGACCTCACAATTCAACCCGGAAAGCTCAAGTAAAAAGGGGCTCAAACGAGCCTTCTGAAGACATGCCACAGAGCAGCATCTAAAACTTCATCCCAGGACCTACTGCATATCAAACTTGAAGCACAATCAACCACTGCAACCTCCAGTAGAAAAGAGTTCCAATGTTGTCTGCTAACTCGCAGAGACACATAGTCGCCTTTTACGGAGGGCTACACTCGTCCCCCTACCACGGGCTCCATTAACCACGTGGGAAACTCCAATCTGCCTTCTGCTGAAACTTTCGCACAGTTGGCCTTGGCCCATGTCTTCATAAACCAGTGACGGTTTTTCCTCCTCCAGTCTGCAAGCACTGCCACCCTGAGGGCCACTTCAACTCTGTTCCTTATCTGATGAAAGTCCAATGTCCATCTCTTGGAGTTGGAATACCAGTGTATTCCTCCGGGCCCAAAGAGCTTCCATCAAGATCCCTCTACAGCACAATGCCACATAGTTTACCCCGGCCCCAAAGTTGCCTTTAGCCTGAAGTTTACCAAATAGTAAGAACTCTTCATTTCACTGAAACTCCCCACTTAGCTTCTTCCAGAACTCCTTCCACCATTCCCAAACTCTCACCGACACTGGGCATGACAGCCACAGATGCATGGCTGTTTCCCACCCCCATTTACAGCCTTCACACGTGGCTGGAATATCCATTCCCTTGCCATTCGGCCAAGTAGCTGTAGGGGTAATCTGAAGCGACTGCAGCCACTGAAGTACTGCCTGTCTCTGCGAAGGCATTGATTTTAATGCTTTCCAGAGAATTAGGAGATCTGCTTCCTCTACCGTCCCAGACACCGCAGATGAGACTTGGAGCTGAGACAGTCTTCTTATTGCTATTGTGAGTGTTTTTTTCTTTACCCCTTCTTGCTGCAACAGGACACCCACTTTCAATCTGTACTGACAAACAGGTACCCCCCGGTTTGAGGGAGTTCGACTTCCATCCAAATAATACAGGTTCCACTATAATCTTCTCCTTTTGAGGCCCTTAGCAGCTGGCAGGCCGTTCCTTTTTTGGTAAATTGCTCATATACTCTCACTTCCTGCAAGCCCCTTGTGGAACTAATTATCCCTTCTTCCTTCCAAACCAAAGATCTGTTGTGGCTCCCTGGTTTAAACCCCCAGATCTGGACTTCAGTTCCGGATCTCAGATCTGGCCCAATTATTTTCCAGGGCCTCTCCCTGTTACAGGGGTCCTCCACCCAGCAGCCTGCATTCAACTCCCTGTCGTTCTTGAGGGCACGCAGTGGCAACGCCTGTTTTATTTTATTAAAATTTGTGTTCTACTTTTCTGAGCCTTGGCACCAGTCTTCTCACTGCTTCCATGGGAAGCCAATCTGAGATTTTATAATCCCACAGGTCCTTCAGCTACAAGATCCTATGCTCTACCCAGGATCTGCCAAAAGAGCCAGAGATACCGTCTGCTTTAAATTCTTCAGAACTGCCATCCAGAATAAATTTATTTTCAAACACAATTCGGTTCAAAATTTCTTCTTTCTACCTTGGTTCCTCCACCAACTGTGGATGAACCTTCTTCCACAGTTGAGATTTCGGCCTCCTGATAACATAGGAAGGGATCATAAAACAGAGCCAAACGTGATGACCCTGCTGCAATGACCATTCCTCCATCAAGATGTATTCAGCCAGTTTAATCCATGCCTTCTCCTCATTGGAGAACATGGCTGCAACCGACCGTTTAGCCAGTAAGGCTACATTTTGTGGCATGGGATCCAAAATACCAAGCCTCCTTGCTCTCTTGCACCGCATATCAGCTCCAAGGCAGCCTTAACAATGAATCCTAGTTGTTCTGATGCCAGCGGTTTCCACAAGTATCTCGCTGCAGTTCTTTTAATTCTCATGTAAGACTCCTCACCTAACACATGAACTGTAAGCGGGAACCACAACATTGAGAAGGCTGCTGAACTTAGGACCAGCGCCCTTCCGAATAATGGCAATTGATGCCAGGTTCCTTGCCCATCCGTCAATCCTGGCCGCCACCTTTTCCAATAGGAGTGCTTCTTGAGAGGCCGCACAATCAGTGAGGGATACCTGTACCCCTAGTAACCTTTCTGATGCATTTTCAGGGATTCGCCGGAGCCCCCAATCTACCTCCAGATAGAAAACTTGAGGCAGAAAGTACATCGATTTCTCCCAGTTAATGGAGGCCTCCGATAGATCACAATAAACATCCAAAACTTTTTTTAATTCATCCAAGGCCCCAGCATCATTGACGCAAGCGACAGTTAAATCGTCCGCTATGGCCCCTCCTTTCCAATGGATCCTTGGAGGGAGGTGTAGTTCTACGATCCTAGGATTATGTCTAATATTAAACAACAAAACTTCTAATTGTGCAACAAAAAGTAAGGGGGCTAACGGACAGCCCTGCCTAAGCGACCTCAAAAAAAGAAAAAAAAAAAAAGAAAAAAAAAAGAAAAGAAAAAACTGAGTACATCGATTTCTCCCAGTTAATGGAGGTCTCCGATAGATCACAATAAACATCCAAAACTTTTTTTTTATTTTAAATACGTGTCGAAATACATCACGGCTAGTGCGAGGCTCATCGGTGGACACCCCTGATGAGGCGGCAGCGGTCGCGGAAACGCGTGGGGGATGCTACCTTGATTTTATACTTCCTATCGTCATAATTGGGTTACGACTTTGCTTGTTATTCTATGTCTTGGATGTATTGCGACTTCTGCTGTACTATGGGCCTCGCTGCACTACTCTCGACATGCACAAAAGACAAAAATCATGGGGGTGTATCTTTCCATATTCTAGCAGAAGATTCACTCTCTTTTTGCACATTTCGAGAGTAGTGCAGCGAGGCCCTATGTCCCTGATATATTTCGACCATGAAGTGTTACCTTCATCTATTGTGTAGTCTATCAACTTCTCTGTGGGTCTCGCCGCACGGCAGTGCATCTTTCCACGAAAAGTGGCAAAATGCACTCGTTACTACCTATAGCAAACGGGTGAACCTGGCCATTTTCTGCAGGAAGATGCACTCGTTTTGTTTTTCGTTTTCGTGTCCCGTGCGGCGACACCCTGTTTGTTCCAATTTTAACAGATGTCCAGAAGGACAGTTTCGTCTTTTTGTTTTTATGTCATGGCGGCCGGTTTCACCCTCTGAGATACCTTCCTCTCTTTTCCAAATTTGTGATTTGCCCCTGTGATTTATGACGCCCACAAAATAAATTTTGTGGCAGGACCCTGTAAGATGGGCATGCAATTTGGGAAGCACCGGGGCATCTGGGAAAGATGAACCAATAGCAACAGGGAAACAGGGAAAAGGTTCCAGGCCCACAAGTTGAAACCAATTGGAAGGATCATTCAAGGATGCACTACAGATATCAAAAACTGCAGGGCCGGCATGCAAATCATCACGAATTATAGGTGCAAAACACAATTTTTCTCTTTTGTTCTCCCACCCCTTCCCTTTTTTTTTTTTTCCTTCTTTTTTCTACTTGCCCTTCCCTCCCCTTTTTTTGGTCAAAAAAAAAAAAAAAAAAAAAAGTCCAACACTCTTATCACCCCGTTATACTGCAAGTACACGCCGTTATACTGCAAGTACGAGTAAGTACGAATGAAGTAAAACGTCTTAGGAACGACAATCATGGAACCTTGATTAGATGAAACCAGGCAATGCAATTGAATTAAAGCAATGGAAGAATTACATCATGGCGTCCCAGACGTGGTGTTTCGACGACAGCCACGCCGTCATCATCAGGGAGAAGCGTGCTTGTATCTAGGCGATCCATCACAGGCCGAGGATCGTGTAGCGGACCTCTGGTTGGCCGGTGAGACCAGCCCCTTGGCCTGTTCTCACAGGCCTGTGTTGTATTCGGGGTAGTCCAGTCTAGGCCGGTACCTCTGTCGGTACCAGCCAGTCCAGTCCAGTCCAGTCAGTCTGCTGGGGTATACCCTAGCCGGAGTCTGTACTTTGGGTCATTCTACATTCGCACAGTTTGGAGTACGTGCGTTGGAGTCTCGCGTGGGAGCTGCGCTGTGCCATCTCGCTCCACTCTCATCCTCCATCTCCATCTCTATCCCAAGCGGAGCACCACACCTGGTGGGTCCGCCACAGTGCCGAAGCGCTTAAGCCCTGTGATGCGAGCGGCATAGTATTAGGGTTTCTTCCGTAGCCATGAGGAGCTTAGCCACCATGCCCCATGGCACACAGCCCGGGGGAGGGGGGTCTTGC